AAAAGATGCACAGATAAACACACAGACTAAATATTGATTCACTGTATCAGCTCTGGGAGCAAAATGTTGTCCTCCCCACACACTCTGTGGCTGAAACCCCTCCAAATTCAAAACATGTATCTGCTGATGACCTACTGAAGAAGTGCGGAAAAAGGAGTAGAAGTGCTACCTCTCACACTTCACCACCACCTGGACATCTTGGGACTGAAACAGATACTCTGTAGCTTACATAGACTGTTTCTAACCTTCTGATGGAGGAGAATTTCCTTCTCTCTGGAAATTCCTCCAGAATTTCTACTATTCTGTCTCAATTCCTAGTTGCTTTATTAGCATAGTTCTATCAGTGCATCTTCTCAGCTGGCTGCAAATAAAGAGCAGATAGGTGCAAGGCTTTTTCCTGCTCTACAGGGTAATTTCTTAGTCATACCAAACCAGGCTGCTGTGTTGAAGTGCCATCTGTGTAACTTGAATGTTTGCAGAAAGCAGCTCAGGTTCAAGGACACGGTCTCAAAAACTTGTTGCAAACCAGGGCTCCTTGACCTCTCTGATCCGATCCTAGAACTAGGTGCCATCTGTGGCTCTGAAGCATCTCGTGTGGCATTTCAAGGATACAGGCTCATGTGAAAATACTCTATGTAGGAAACCTCAGAAAGGGGTGTTAACTACTGTGCATGGTAACCTGGTCTGAAAGAAACATCCACCTCTCCACTATGTTCCTGGCACGCATGGCATTCCTTGCATTCCAGTGATGCTTTTGCTAAAATGAAACTTTTTGTCTTAAGCAGAGAGACAGGCGGCCAAGTCTTTAAACACCGACCCTGGAAAAGTCCTTGCCACCTTGACTTCCACAACTGTAAAGCTGGGGATATCTGTTATTCAACTTCTAGAGAGGACAGTGAAAAAGTGTTTCGGAAGTGCTGGAAGCTGTTCTGCTGACAAAAATCCTGTTACCAGAAATGTTCTCCTTCATAAGATGATTTACACAAAACTGCTGATTTTTTACATATCAAAATGAATGCTTTTTATCAGTTTTTCTTATTTGCATTGGGAGGAGCTTCAGGCTCCAGCTTTATGTTCAAGCTGCAAATACAGCATGGCTACAGTGCTTCATTACTTGTGTTTCCAACCATCCTCACATTTAAGACAAGAAAACAAAAATTCAAATCCATTCAGTAGCTACAGCAACATTTTCAGTGCAAGCCATCTCCTTCACCACTGACACAGACACACAGAGTAATTACCTCAACATTTCATATAATAATGACAAAGCGGAACGTTTATTCCATGCCAACTTTAAGACAAGGTAACTACTTTAAAATCAAAGGTGTCTCAAATACAGGGATGTTTCTCCTTTGCATCCTTCTATTTGAATGTTAAATTTTGTGCCACTGTTCCAAATCTGGAAAACACTCCCATACACATAAGTGAACGCTCAACTTTTACTCAGTGGAGACAGTGGACCAGGAATGAGTGATCTAGTCTTCAGCTCTCTAAAGCTAAGGTCTTGTGCAGTTATTTCACAAATCTAAGTGCAGGATGGGCTGACTCGAAAATCAGTGGAAGGTGCTATCCAATTAAGGGCTGTGAGCAAATACTGAAAAGGCCCCTTAAAAAACCCAAGCAAGCAAACAAACAAAAGAGCCCCACAAAAAATCAAAACCAACCAACCAACCAAAACCACACAAACACACAAAAAGAAAAAAAACCACAAAAAACCACCCACTCCCCCAAAAAAACCAACCCAAAAAAGCCAACAACAAAATACCCAAACCAAAAAAAAAAAAAAAAAAAAAAAAAGCCCTGTCCCACAGCAATCAAGGAGCCCTTGGCTACTTGGCTTTTGGAGATGAAATACTCTGTTGTGACCCCATTCTAATCCCTCCAGTTTTTGCACAAGGATCTGTCACCTTGGCTTCTTCCAAAAGAAAGACATGTTTTAAAGCATGCTTTTCATGCACACGGATTGATAACAGTGTCTCATACATCTTTCCCTCTCACTGGTTTTGCAGAAAAAAAGGAGAGGAAAAACCTTTTCCAAGTAGAGAGTACAAAATCCCTCTCCTGCCTAGAAATTACTATATAAAACTTACAATCTGGTGAATTAAGAGAGCCCTCTGAAAACATTCTTTTGCCATTTGTCATTGGTTTATCTTCTTTTTCTCCTCATTTTTTTCCAGTTTCAGCTGGAAGGGCAGCAGCTGTGCATAGCTGGAAGCAAAACCACTTTACTTAGAACCACTTCAAATTCCAAGGAGGTTGAATGACGGTGTTTTGCCATTCAGAAAATGTAGCCCATCACTATATGCAACACACTGTGACACGGTATGATCTCATGTACAAATGTTAAAAGCTTCATGAGAACTTTGCTTCGTTCATAAAAAACAAGAGAGTGTACATCAGTGGTCTGCCAGCTCATCTCTCCTTTCCTTCAATATGACTGGTCTAAGCAGGCAGCTAAATTAACAGAACAAAACTAATGGAAGAGTCTGACTGGAATACTAACTGAGATAATACATAAGCTGACAAAACCTCTGCAAAGCTGAAGTTACAACTAAAACGTGGGTAACAGACTGCATGTGTTATCAGAGCATCCCAGATGTGTGCCTGGGAATTTAGTAACCATTTTTGTTAGAGATACATATTTCTGATGTTTTGAAAAGTTGACTGTGAAATGAACTTCTTATTCTGACCTGTTGCTCTCCTATACCTTCCTGTAAAATTTCTGGATTAACAATACATAAGCCTTCACACAGATCTTCGTTAAAGAAACAATCAGTTATGGGCTTGCTACAGGTGTTGTCAGGTGAAGTTTTACAGTCTGCACTATAAAGCAAGATTAGATGATCCTAATATTCCCTCTGGACTTAAAATCTATGAACATAGAAAAGAAAAGAAAAGAAGTGTCCGAGAATGGTTGCCACCTCAACCACAGAAAAGGAAGAAGTAAAACACATTTATTTAAAACATGCTAAACTTGTCTTCAGCAAGCAGCAACCACTAATCCTGCAGAAACATGTCACCAGGCTTCATACCAAGCAGTCTTCATGTTATAGAGAAAGTTCAGCCCAGCAACCAACGGAGAAATGCTAAGAAGTGTCTTTTGCAAGAGACATCGCTTGCAGTATGGACAGTCAGGACTTCATGGAAATGGGCCACCCTCTTCAACACGCAGGATCCACTGCTCACACCCTGCTGGCTGACTCAGCCCTCACACCGATAACAACAAAGGGGTAAAAAACCTCAAACCCTCTGAGGACTGTGAAAAGCACACAGAAAGAAAAACATTATGGGAGTGTAAATCATTGACTAACAGCCTGACAATATTGTTTTGTCTGTAGGTGGAAAATGTAAAAGCAGTCATCTCCTTCAAGAACATGCATCAGGAAAAAGAAGCTTCTAAGAAACCTACTAAATGGGTATGGTCCTGCTCACATGTTCAAGTTTCTCACAAAAATATTGGTGCCTCTTTCACTCACTAGCTCCCTGCTATGGAAAAACACTTCTTTAGAGTCTGGAAAATGCTGTTTGATCTCAGTAAATTACATCTCACTGCTTGTCGGTTTCTGATTGATGGTGTAACTTAGGGAACAATATCTGTGTGTGGAATACTGTCTGGAGAAGCAGTCAGGGATTATTGAAAATACAGTATTTATGCAGTTTAAAAATCAGTGGCACATTGCACACAATGTTTTCTAGAGTGATGAAAAAATCACTGGAGTGCATTTGGGAACAAAGGGTATAAGGTCTTTTGTCTATTTGTAAGAACACTCGACTGGTAAGACTTCTTAGTGAGTTAGTAGTGATGGATGCAAGAAAAAGTGTCAAACACAGTTGAGCATAAAGCCAACTGCTTCTCTGACCGATGGGCAGAAAGGAAGACGTCATTGTTCAATGGTGGTCAGAGAAGAGGGAAAAAAAACTGAAGAAAAGAGAAGGAAAATGAACCAAGGATCACTGATTTCTCCAAGCCATTTAGAACTACTGGAGAAGGAGGAAAAGTGTAAGGTTTCATCACACCATGAGTTGTTTCTTCATCTATCTGATATGTCACAGGTAGTTGGAAGATTTTCAGAAAACAGCCATTCTGAAAGAGCAGCCACCTCCTCAACATAAATGGTCGGACTTACTGAATTCAAGAGCTCAGTACCAGAGGTACAACTTTATACACACCTAACCTTCCAAAACATATGAACATATGAAGTAGTATCACCCTACTCTTTCTTTGTTTTTCTTCTTACTTCTCTAGCATCAGTTACTGTTCGGTTCCAGGAAATCAGTTCCATGAAGCTGGTCTACTCCAGCAGGCCATGTTAATGCCTGTGGTACACTCTACCAGCTACTGGAGCAATGGAACAAGAAAGCAAGAGAAACGTTCTCAAAACCAGAGGGTAAATTCACCTGGAAACTACTGCAGACTATAGTAATCCTTAGGATAGTCAAAAAGCCCTGAACATGAAAGAAAAATTTATCTGCAGTAGTTTTAAATTAAGTAACAAAGTGTGATGAGTTTGAAATGAACAATGAAGCAAGTCTGCAAACGGCTTCATGACATTGTTGAGGTGCAGGAATAGTTCACATTCATGGCTCAGAAAGAAGAGGACGGCAAAGGCTCAGTGGGAGCCTTTGCGGAAAAATCATGGACAGCATTTTTGAGAAAAGATAATTCTGTGGTAGGGCAAAGATAATTCTTTGTTTCTGTGAGGCAGCCAGCTGGTGAGCACCAAAGACAGCACCTCAAGTGACTCTTCATACAGCTTAGAGACATACACAGGAGCAGAAAGGTACAACTAACTGCACTCCTGAACCACGAGACTTCTTAAACACAAGGTCTCACTACTGTACAGTAACAGCCCTATGCTGCCACAAGCCTCCCAGCAAACAGCCACCACCTTGTAAATGTCTGCTCTCTGACGCCCTGCTTCCTTCCCAGCACAACCCACACCTCCTGGGAGCCTGCCCCAAGGCAAAGCGGTCCCAGATGTCCTGGTGTGTGCACTTACCTCTCACTTTTGACTCCAAGTAGGAGGGTATGTCCTCAGATGTCAGGATCTGGGGGAGGCATGTGGGAGCACCAACACCCTGCCCCAGGTAGGAGGCAGGCGGGTAGTAGGAGCACACGCGGTACTGGGAGCTCACGGCATTGCGGCTCTCCATACCCTTCACCTGTAGAGAGAAGCCAACAGCAGTCTGTGAAAGCTGAGCCCAAGTGCCTCTGCCCCCCTGCCCACTGCCCCACAAGCGCACAGGGTGTAAATGAAAGTAAAATCCTGACATACTGGATTTGGGTTTTTGCTCTGGTTGTTTGACAACATGCCCACACTGCTGAGATACAGGCAAGCTGGTGTGGAATGGGATGCAACCTGGCAGCAACAGCAGCAGCACTGGCATATCTCTGGCTCACTCACCTTACCTCAGCAGGAGCTGCACCTGGCACACAAGCACATACCCTTCACTGCAAGGAGCTTACCCTTCACTGCAAGGAGCCTCATGCCAAGTCCTCTGCTTATGGCACAGACGACACAATGAGAAGCTTTCTAGACCTGTTCAACTGCACACACCTGGCCAGCGTCAGAGGTGAAGTGTCCATCGAATCCCTATACCTCCCCAGGGAACAGCCCCTCTAAGAGTGATGGTAACTGCTCTGCTAGAGACCTACAGGGTGCCTAAGGACAGCCCTACCAGCCGGCTCCCTTGGCACACATTCCACAGCACCCAAGCAGTGATGCGCATACACAGATGCATCACTTGTTGCGATCCAGTAAGATGGAAAAATATTTTCCTGATTTACCCAGAAAAACCAAGCTGTGGACAGACTACATGAGAAGCCTTCAACAGAGCCACAGCTAGAGACCAGCCATAAGGTCCGCTGTGTCAGCACAGTGTCCACCAGACCAAACCTGCAGTAAAGTTGGCAGCACTCAGAAATCAAGGTTTATCCTACTCCAATACTCTTAAGACAATCCAACCTGATCTCCTTAGATCTTTATGAAAGAAATGCCATCTGCTATTATTTGTTCCAAAGCCCTACAATATAATGTGGCTACAGCACTGAAAAAATGCAGCCAAACACTTCAAAAGATTAAGATTTTCAACAGGAAAGGTAACACCACCTGCTCTCCCTAAGTCTTTTTGGCAGCGAATGATTGCAATATGGAAAGCTTCCAGGCAGAGAAAAAAATCACAGGTATAATGGCAGCATTGCCAACAGTAATGTACATCCAGCTACGCCATTAGATATCATCTTCACAAGCAGAAGTCCCTCATAGCTTCTCCAGCCACATGATACCTCAGCCAGAGGAGCTCTGCCTGCTGTGGTGGGTCACAGCCAGCCATTCATGAAGCCCTGCTTCTCAGGCCTTCCCAGGCTGGGGAGCTCAGAGCCAGGGAGCACTGAGGGCAGGGAGTGAACCTGCTGTCCTGGATGGCTGCCCTGCCCCAGCAGACACCCAGGATCTGTCCTGGCAGAAGGAGCCACTGGCACCTCCAGTGAGAAGCCAGAATGGAGTCACCCCTTGTTTTCCTAGGGCCCCCTTAATAACTCAATATTCATTTTATTATGCATAGCTGGAAATAACGTGGCTCGGTCACATTAAATTCTGCTGGTGCTGAGACAGAGGGCAATATCCCACTTTCCACGTGGAGCCAGGTTTACAGCAAGATGAAGTGGCAAGAGAGAGGGGTGGCTGTTTACAAGGAAGCAAAGTACACCTCTGCCTGTCTTCTGACAGCAGCACAGTCACGTGTATTTGCACATGACTGAGGGATTGGCAGGACATGCTTTTTCAGCCTGTGAAAGAGCAAGTTTTTCTACTGTAATTTAAAGCAATAATTAAAATGTAATTTTTGTACCATCTGTACTCTATGCATGCAGAGAAAGCTCAATATGCACTCAAGTTCCATGCATGATGAACACTAAATTGCTTTTAAAAAAATGCCACGTATCATCCCAAGGAAGCCTGAAATTGAAAAAGCCACCGACATCCCTCTGCTGTTCTGAAAACGGCAGCCTTCTCTTGGAAACAGACATCTGTGCTTTGTACAGACTTCTTCACCAAAACCCAGGCTGCCTCCACCCTGAAATTATGGATTAGCAACATGAACTGCCCAAAAACTCAGTCCAAAGGGCATTTTGCATCTGCACATCCACAAAGCTCAACAGCTCTAGAAGCACTTGGGGGAAAAAGGGTTAGTGAATTCCTCTCTGCCTGCTGTTCTCCATGCACTATCTTCTCTCCCTCAGTGGGGCAGGGCTGCAGGCAGCAGCCGTGGTCCTCACATCCCCACCTCTCCCTTGTGCAAGTGCATGTGTGCACACGTACAATGGAGAGAAGGTTTCCTACAGCAGACAGCATTATTTCAGCTGTAACAAAATGGAGGGATCACTCCCTAGGACTTAAATGATCATGTGCATGTTTTCTCTCCTTGTGGAGTGGATGCAGTGACCTGTTTCCTTCAAACATTTTCTTGGGGTTTTTCTCCATTTCTTAAAAAAACCAACTACCTAAAATCTCTGGATGCAATGAATTATTACTACTATTAGTATTAGTGTGTGGTAGCTGGCTAGCAAGAGACATGTTTTATAATCTTATTACCCACACCAAGTCTATGAACCGACAGCCACAGGCTTGGCTCTGCAAAGAATATGCGGTGTATTAATCGCTGAAGAAATCTAAAAGCTTTTGGTTTTATTAAACTGTTTAGAATACACACTGCAGTAAATCTGAAACGTAAGGTTTCCTTTTTATAGAGCTTAGCAGTTCTATTTTACAGTAACAATAAAAAAACAACCAGTTGTAAAAATTCTTGACCTTAGCACTGCATTAAAAAGGGGGCTTAGGAGATCACTACTCCATGAGAAGGGGCATTTGCTCTGTATTAACTCCTGCAGCTCTGGACAGTCCTTGCATATTTTTGGGTGCCAGAAAGGGAAATAAAACAGCCATTGGGAGGCCATGAAATATTGGTATTATTTCTAAATCAGGGCAAATCAGCTTTCCAGGTGTTGCAGCCAGATGCCAGGTCCTCCCCTGGCTCCTGTCCTGGAGGAACACTGCGGTCATGTAGGGATCACAGTAGGAGATGCCTGGCCCTCTAGTGTCTTCTCCTGCTTCCCTTGCCCTTTCCAGCCCTACAGCGAGGCCAAGACAGGTAGGGGATGGGATGGCCCCACAAACCACTCTGGTTTGTATCACTGCAAGCTACACCCCAGAAGAACAAGGCATGTTTTAGGTAAGGAAGTGCTGTGGAGGGGAAGGGCATGCACTTGCTCTTTGCAGAGAGCAATCTGAGCTCCAGAGTTGAACTCTGCATTGCTTACTTACAGTACGTCCCTGTCTGGCCACACATCACTCTGTGAGCAGGACTGATTCACCAAGTACCTCTCTGACTTCAGTGGGAGAAACACATGTGGCCTATTCAACATTTACAGGTTCCCCTAAACTGTACAACACAGCACACACTCAGTAACTTCTTACAGGATGTGTATTTCAAGCAACAGTGGCATGCGTAGAACTTATGAGCAAACAAATATGGCCTGATTAAAACACCATGCATTCAGCGAAAATTCTTTCCATGTTCCCTTGAGAAGCTGATACGAGGAATCATAGAGGCAGCTACAGCTTGTCTGCAAACATGCAAGCCGGAAGCAGAATTTTTCCATCACTACAGCAGTGCCCAACAGTGACAAAATACTTAGCAAAAGACAGGGAAGTACAAAGAAAAGAGAATGCTCTTGCACCAGTTCAGACCATTCCCCTGTAAAAGCTTTCTCAAGAGGTGGTGGAAAAGCAACATAAAGCTCCTCCTCTCCAAGCTCCTGGCAGCATCTGCATAACCACTACATATCTTCTTCACCGAGGAAGAGCTGAGGAGGCAGGCAGAAAGTTCTCCTTCCAGCTCTGAAGACTAGAAAACAGTCCTGCCCTTCCCAGGTGATTTATTCAGACAAAATACCTCCCAGGTAGATCTTTAATTTTCAGAAGCTGCCAGCTGCAATCTCCTTGCAAGCAAGCCAGCATTACTCTTAGCAGTACATTCACATTTTGCAGTTGATCTGGACCATGTGGTGTATTCCCCAAAAGGACAAGCAGGAGGAGGCTGCAGATGCTAATCCTGTGTGAAAACAGCTGCAAAGAATTCAGAACAAAGAAGAGATCAAAGTACTATCCTTTGACTCTGCCACTGGTGTGCCCCATGGTCTGGGCCAAGCCACTTCGCCCAGGCTTTCCATCCTTCTGTCTCACCCATGACTCACCAACAGATGCTTAAACCAACACCAGTAACTATGGAAACATCAGAGAAACTCTGTTAAAAGTTTTAACAAAGCCTGCTCGCTCCTTCTGCCTTGATCTTAACAATAAAGCCAGCTTTAGGGTGGCATAAAATTATATTTTGCATTTATGTGTCATTGACTGCAAACAACAGAATTCACACGTCATTTTTTATGACATGAGGTGACAAGGCAGCCACTGGGCACCAGAGTGGGAATCCACACATCAGGAATCTCCACTGTCATCTGCAGGATGTGTGATGGTGGGCAAGTTATTTAACACTTCCCTGCCTCAGTTTCCCCAGCTGTAAACCAGGGTTGCCGCTACTCTCCCACCTTGTGATGCTTCTGCCCATGAGCTGACCCTGTACGACTACAGCTGCACTTGCGCTGCCCAAGGTGGCTTTGTTTCATTCCTAAAACCAGCTAAGCACATTTTCCAGCATGAGCTAAAAATAAGTCTATGATATCCTGCCTTGACTTACTTTGATTCTAGCACAGAAAATACAAGAGACATCTATATCTGTCGCTCCTTGATAGACAAACTTAATTAACCTTTGCTATTCTGTTCCAACCTATTCTTTTAGACAAAGGCAGTGACCCATAAACAATATGTTACCATCAGAATCTCAACTGCGGTGACACCTAGAGATATAGCCCTATCAGCAGTATCGGAAAATAAACAGCTTAGATTAGCTCCTCCAAGAAATATGGATTGCATTCATGTCACACATGAGCTGTCAGAAACATTAGGATACTTTTAGCATAAATCTGTAGTGTGAAGGGTATGTTATGAATACAGTATATAATACACTACTTACACATAAAATTGGGATTGTGTCAGGTGACTTGTGTTATATGTATGTGTATATATTTACACAAACAAACATTTTACACCTATTTCTGGAGAGTTACACCACACAATAGACCTGTAAGAAGTCCAGGCTTATTGGAGGAAAAACTATGCCAGAAACTAGAAACAGGTTGTGGAAGCTGAAAAAAATTAATCTTTTTTTACTAGCAAACAGCTATTCCTAAGAATTCAAACTGCTAGCTGCCCTATCACAGCCATACTCTTCTGGATTTAGTGAAAGACAGGTTTTTATGTTTGCTGCTTTTAAAGAAATCCTTAAAACACAGCTTTCTACCCCAGCAAAGCTAACTCTTTCACTGCCAAATAGTAAATAAAATTCCCATATTAGAAAATATGTTAAAATTTCCCGTAAAGTTTCTCAGTCTGACTCTCACAAATACTTATTTCAGTTGTTTGCTCTAAACTGGTTTAAGGAATGAGAATACTGGTTTGCCAAGCTCCATTTAAAAAAAAAACAAAAAACAACAGTAAAAGCCCACCTCAGAGCATGAAACAGAAATTATATGAAATTCTGAAATTTGTCCAAAATCTCTTGGCCAGCCTTAATCTTTCTCTGAAGCAGGATGCCTGGAGTTACCAAGGTAACAAAGAAAACACAGATACTGGTCCCCAGCTGTGGGGCACATTCTGTATCTTGCAGGTTTTTAATGGTTGTAAGAGTTTTAACACTTTATGGAGAGGACACGTGACTCACAAGGAGTCACAATAATCCTTATGCTGTGAGTCACACGCCAGCAGTTTCATGGCCAGCTTGGAGAATGAAACCTGATTAGACTCAGGTATGTCCATCCAGGTTTTACTTCTGTTGTGGTACAAAAGACTGCAGTCACCCCACCATTTTGCAGTTGCTGCCCCTAAAGTGGGTTGCAGTGAAACTGATTTCAGAAGACTGTATACAACAATGCCCTGACTTGCAGTACTAATGTTGGTGAACGCATTTAACTGTTAACTGGATTGAACGCACAATTATGAAAGCTTCAAGGGAGGGTCCAGACACAGAACTCTAGTGAAGGAGATGCACAGTAATCACCACATCTGCATTTCCTCTGCGACAGAGGATTGCCTTTTCTTCAGGTGTTAACACTAGACGTATCTGATTACCTGTCTTACAGCTGGCAAAAGCAGCAGGATATAAATGACTGAAGGGTTCTTGACCAAAAGTATTGTCTTCATTATACTTACAAATCACAATGGATAGAATTTCCAGGATAACTGTACCAATGAACAAAACCTACACACAAATAAAGTTGCACCTCTATGAATCTACTCAAATACACAAGCCTCAGCAAAGAATGAAGACTAATGAAATCTGACAATCTACATTAAAGATTGAGTGATTCTGTTTATTTGCCAAGATTCAATGATGCATTAATCCTCATCCCATCCTTCACATACACACACATTTCCTCCCTTTCTCCCTTTCTCCCTGAATTCTGAAAGAGCAGACAGCTGGGCTGATTAAGGCTTTTGTCTGCATCCACAGGTTATCTTACTTTATGCAATTCTCCTTGTCTGCTTAAAGTTACTCCAGGACAAGCGAGCCTCTACTATCAGAGCCTGGAAAAGGCAGAGGTCTTATCTACATGCCTTCAAATAGGATACCTTCCAGTCAGCACACGGGTAGCTTATGCAAAGAAACCCTCCTGTGACTCACAGCTTAGCCAGCTAGCCTGATTCGGTTATAGCAAACATTGTACAGCTACAATTTTGGTAAAGAAGCAAAAATCAAAAACCTCAATGAAAACAGTTACAAGCACTACTGCTCACATGAGGAGACTCTCTTGTCCTGGAAGACTGGTTAAGAAATCCCATGCATATAAAGAAATAAACCCAACCAGTACAGGCACTCCAACAAAAATCCCTGTGTAGATACACCTACGTGTTTCCTTTGGAGAATCAGCCTGCATGGGTTTGCCACGGAACCCCCTTGAAGGTGTAAGCAAGGTCTGATTCCTCTTTGCGGATCATTCTCTGAAACTCTCCTGTAACTCCTTACTGTGCTTGACAAGACTAATTCATTCTTCTTCATTTAACACTCCTTTTGCGATCATCTGTTGCTGGTAAACCTCCATGCGCAAAATTGATGTTTAACCATGTGCTGCAGCTAAGAGCTTGTTCCCCCTACAACACAGTAAGGTTTTACAACCTTGGCACCACACCTTCAAACATTATCTAGCCTGGCTCTCACTAAAACTTTTTACGGTTACTTGTGCAATGTAATGATGTCATAATAATATTCAAACCCCATGATTTGTAACTCTTCCAGCAACAACAATCCTTCTTGCAGATCAGCCTGTGAGAAACAGCCTATTTACACAACACCTTGAACTACACTCTCCCTCTGAAAAGAAGAGGCACATTCTCATTTTAGGCAATTTAGAAGCTTGGGGAGATGTCACACTGCAGCCAGAAAGCCCCACCTCTAGTCTCTCCGCACAAACACCTCATCAGAACAGCACTGACAGATCCCAAAAGATTTGGCCAGGAGAAATTAAAATCTCAGGTGAGGTAAATCACTACATTTACTTAGAGGTGAATACTCTGTGATGCATCCCACAAGGTGGGACTGAACAAACAGCACCTGGAGCCTGACGGTGCAAGGGAAATGGTTCTTTTTGACAACATTTTTTTCCTTAATTACCTTTTTGGTATCCTGCAAATTTGAGTGGCACTTAAACAGAAGACTCTGCCAGATTCTTACAGATTCTGCAGGGACTGAAGAGAAAAATCCATGAAAAACAGGCTATAGCTTTTATTTCTTTAATGCCTGTCAAAGGTCCCACAAGAAACAGGCGATCTCACAGTGAGACAATGGACCCTCTAGTCCCAAACTTCATACATACACAGTCTAGTTTCAAAACACAGACAGAAGACGACAACAGAACTGAGAGTACATCATCTTCATTCCAAGGTTTAACAGTTTAACATCTTTTTAACATACCCTCACGTCTCTCTTCCTCAAACACTATGTGCTAGGATAGTCATACCTTCAATTTACTTTTCTTTTTCTCAAGCAAGTAAAATCACAGACATCTCTGCTGGCTGGAGGAATGGTGAAGTGTGAGACTACACGCCTGCACAAACATCAATTTCAGAAGACAGATGTTGCTGCCCCTCATTTGTGTTGTGACAGTGTTTCCAAGCATCAGTTCTGCAGTAGTCTCTTCCAAATTAGGTACTGCAAAAACTTCAGAAATAAATTCTCATCTGAAACACTCTACTATGATGTGCCAAGTTAACCCAAACAACCAAAATGAAAAAGCTGAAACAGCACTGGCACCTCACCTTATTATCACACACAAAATCCTATCCCAAGCTTGCCTTGACTCTCACCCTGGTCTAATGATCAAATTCAGCAGAGCTAGAGAGGATGCCTCTGCATTTCCAGGACCTTCCCATGAAAAAAGTGTCTAATGATATAAAAACCTCACTGAAGGTGATGTGGACTGCTGCAATACTTGTAATCACTCTGGTCTTAGTTCCAGCTCCTTTGTATCAGAAGTTAAAATGCTCTTTCAGTGCTGGTTCCTGCGCCAGAACTGCTACAGGAATGCTCTGTCAGCAAATGGGCCATCCCATTTGTTCCCTTCAGAAAGGAAGTTTTGGTGGACGTTTCATCTTTCATTGTTGAGTGGTTTCATAACACAGCCTTTGTAAGAAGGCAGCCTGCCCCCTCTTGATGCTCTGCTCTACACAAGAGATCTGCCCTCTCCTGCCCTTGGACAAGGGACATGGGGCATACAGATTCTCAGAGAGTGCACCCTCCCTGAGCTCAATCTCAGACACAGAAGCATCACTGCAGCCCAAGACCAAACACCCTCAGGGTGACGGAAATGGCTCCACTTACTTTGACAAGAATCCCATTTCTTGGCAGATTTCTACTTTTTCCAGTCTCCAGCTAGTAGTAAGTTGGAATCTACAATTATCAAGTCTTACAGTGAGAGGGCTCAGTTGGTTTTACACCCTAACTAATGAAGTTAGTTACAGGCACAGACTGTAAACTGTGCTCCCCAGATTGAAATCACAAACCCTGGAGCTGACACTGCCACAACACAACATGCCATGTCACATTCAACTGACAATGACCAGCCCACTGCACAACAGCATAGTCTCCTGGGTCACTTCAGAGACTTGGATGACAGGAAAGACCAGGTTCCTGAAGAGGAAAGTCTCTCAGAAATGACACCTGAAGCTTCCAGGATGCTATTTTGGGGAATCCAGTTGGACTCCTTCTCCAGAAAACAGCTCATAATCTCCTATGTCATAACTCAAAAGACAAAATCAAGTGAGTGGCCTTTTTCCGTGCTTGTGGCAGCCTACCTATACCTGTATCACTGCTTTCATTGTGTTCCATCATAACTGCCACAGCTAATTCTCCTAACATGGGTCCTAATCCCACCCAGAAATCTGGTTGTGGTTTTGCACTGCCATTAAACCAGCTAACAGGAGGTTAGAATCAGGCCTGAGAAACAGGTTATCACCCACCTCACTCTTCCCTGTAACACCTCCGTAACATCATACCTGCCACTGTTTTCCCGACTGGCTTGGCATGTAAGTTGCTGGGAGGCTTCGAAGGCTGTTTTTCATGGCCGACCCTACAATTGTACCCCCATTCTCACTTGAGGAGGGCTCACTGGCCACTGCCATTTGGTACTGGGAGTAGTTGTACAGGTTGTTATAGTAAGGATACAGGGACGGCTGGTAAAAACTGCTGTAGTAGGTGGAGTCCACAACCAAATCAGACGTGCTCTCCAAGTGCCCTCTGCTGGGGATGGAAGGGATGTCCTGAATGAGCATCCGCCCCTCTGGAAAAGAAAGCAAGAAGCCATTATGAGACAGGAGGCTCCATGAAGACCATTACATTTCACCTGCTGATGAGCTACTACTCCTGAAGGCTGGATAGAGAGTAGTAAATAGGAGGAGGGGGGAGCTGAAAGGGAAACACGGCTGGATGTTTGGTAGAAACTCACATGGACTGACTTCCACACAAAGCCTGATACCACCACCTACATACACTAGAGACTGCAAAACAGGACACAAAGCCAACTGCAGGTTAAGATGATGTTCTGAGTCCTCAAGGAGCATCAGGTGACCTGGTGATGATTTACACCAGCTAAGGCTGCAGCCCCCTATTATTCTTATACTGTAACAGTGTGCCATGTCTCTTTTAACCTCCTGGAAGCAGAAAGACTGTAACTACAGGACCCCTCTCCAGCCAGTTTCCTGCAGGTGAGAAGACATTTTCTGAATATGCCTCTGGAAAAAGACAAACAGCCACAAAGCCAAAAGAAGCTGCAGCAGGGGAAGCCCCCCATGATCAGCCAAGGTGTCTCAAAAACGCATGTTACCTCTGAGTGAGCAGAGCAAGGCCCTGCCCAGCCTTCATACCCAAATTTAACTTCTGTTTACCTACAGAACCACAGAGCAGAACAAGTTCCCACACCACTGGCAAAAGAGGAGGAGGAGGGGATTGCTCATGACTTGCTGCCTGCACTCCGGAGTGCCGCCAGACTGCAGGCCAGCTGTCTGCACTCCCCACAGGCTGTCCCCACAAATGTCTGTTTCCCTGCTGTTCCCTAGGGGGAGGGGGCTTCTCAGTGGATGTTTTAAGTCCCATTTTTCTCACTCTAATGTCTAGTGCGACACTCGTGAGGATGAAAAAGGAAGATGCTTGTCGGCACCATGCCACAGCCACGCTCTCTCTGGCATGCTGCATCAGCTGCCTGGCTGAGCCAGCCACAGCAATAAACGGCCACAACCTTGGAAAGTCTAACTACGTGGTGAATACATATTTACATATTTAACAAGGGAGCTACTGTAAATCCTGCCATCCTTGCAGCTCTGGTTCTACCTCACATCCCTGTTACCCTGTCCTGCACCTACCCCTACACAGTGTTCGCAGCATAATGATCGTTTCTGCAAGGAGCTCCTGCTCTTCCTATGTTGTTGTTTAACGCTACCATGGAGAAGTAGAAGATGTGGCCTAAAGCATAATTATTAGCTGTCAAAGGTTATCATGTGGAGGAGATGAAGCAGCATGGACAATAGACACATACGAAATAATACCCCTAACAGGGATGCCAGGCAGGGACTGCCTGGTTTTCTTGCATCTTTTGGTGTATCTGTACCTTGGTTACATACCTGAAAAACGAATACAGGAATTCACCAGCTTCTCAGAGTCATGGTAAGAGCTTCCAGCATACTACACACTAGATCAAATGATCGGTTTTACCAGTTACTACCATTTACAATGCAATTCTGTTTCACTTCTGCAGCTGTAATGAAAGCTGTCTGCAATCACAGATCCTTCCAGGTCACTAAATTATGCAGTGCCCCCATTCAGCTCTTGCTGACATTTTGTTGACATCAATGAACTATACCCATTTATTATTAGCAGAATGTTTTATGCCTCCTGCATCTGATTTTTCTGCCCCACAGCCCTATATGAACGAGAAACAAGCCAGCTAGCCTTTTTCATTGGGAGCACCTCTTTGATTTGTACATAGGAGTCCACAATGCTACAAAAAAACCTTCACAGTTTTTGAACTTCCATATTTTTATGAGATTTTATGATTGCTATTATTCTGCTTCTGGGCAGGCCTCTCTTCAAATCCTTTTGTCAGTGTTTCTGATAAAACCAGAACTTAGACCACTGGCACTGAAAAGCCAGCAGTTCTGATAAATCATGGTTTGACCCACCCCCTGGACTTAGCTCCCAAATAAAGCTGCAGTCTAATTGTTCTGCTTTTCATAATGTAAAATAGAAGCCAAATGCAAAATCCTCTAACATGTTCCCTGCTGGGATACAGATTTCACAGGAGACAGAAATATACAAGGCAGCCAGCCACAGAACTTCTGTCAGGGCTGTGCTATGTTGCACAGATGTGCAGTTTCTTCTGAAACCTCTGCAGTGTCCACTTGCAGGGCATCATAAGAAGCGATAATACCTTCCATGAAGAATGCTAGCACCAGGAACATGGGGCCTCTACATCTACACACGAAAGGTGAGCCACCTTGAGATGCGAGCAGCTCAACTGAAGAGGAGGAGAATGTAGCAGGTTCTGCTGCAACTTTTGGAAAAGTCTCATGCACTACACTTCCTAACATGGGACAAGATGGGCTAGGATATAACACAGACCTGCCCATAGCTACCCACAAAATCGTACAAACATCCTTGCTGTGTCTGTGATGTTCCAGTGGCTGGTAGTCCTACAGCTCCTTCCCAAAGAGCAAGCAGCAGTGACAGTCCTCTGCTGCATTAAATAGGTGCAAAAAAAAAAAAAAAAACAACAACAAAAAAACAACAACAAAAAACAAAAACCAAACCAAAACCTTTCTGCTCTTTCTTTTCCACTTTTACCTCTTATCTGTGGCTGGGGCTACCATGATTTGCATGGATGTGCAAAGGGGTTGACCTGTTGCAGCCCACTTCTCCTTTATCTAGCGGCACAACAGCTGCCAGCAGTTCAGTACTCAGTGTTGTTATTAATCCACCAGAATGGTCCTCTGCTTTCCTTCTGCTGTCTCTCCACTCCCCACTAGCTTCTACAGTACTATCAGCTGTCCTCTCAAAACTCAACACTGAGTTTGTAGAGCCATTCACCTGCTCATTCAGATGCCCATGCACCCATACACATAAATCTCCAGGTGTCAGCAGCCTCAGGCATTTTCCTCTTACATACATGGAATTATGGAATCCATAGTCCTCGTAACATCCCTGGCAAACACTCCTTCTGAGCTGCAGCCACATCACAGGGATGTGCCCCAGCAGATTAGCAATAAAAACAGGAGCCATGGGAAAAGGGAAAGTTCAAGTGAAGGGACAGACACAACGAGCTCCATACAGAACAAGGACTCTTGCCACTGTGATGGAAAGACAGCCAGAAGAGTTTCTCTTCCCTAAATCTCAAGCCACATCATGCTTCTGAAGATGGAAGGACTGGCAGCACCTGACAAAGAACAGGAGAAAGCTGCCACATGCTTCAACTCACATTTTCCCCTGAATTTAGAGGATGAGATTTTCTTTGGTGTTATGGTTTGGGACAAGTCTCTGCTATTTTTCTGTGGCATCTGGAGATTTGGTGCTTCACTCAGGAGAAGACAGATGCCTCCCTCACAGAAGACATACTCTTGTGCCATCTGGACTTTGGGCAGATGTCAGGTCAGACCAGGTCAAAGCACCCCAAAGGTTACTCTAAACTCCTTGCAGTGTTTCACCAGCCAACCTGAGGGAAGCATGCCTCTGGAGAGCTGAGCAAGTCTTTGGTGACTCCAGCATACAACGGGTCAAGGGCAGGTCTGCAGACCTGCAGCTCTTACCCCATCCAGCCTGGCTGATTGTGTCACCTAATGCATGCACCATACAACACACAAAAAATACACACAACTGTAAATACATGAAGGGCAAAGAGTTTTGCTATTAATAGAGAAAGCCCTGAAAGTCTTGGCTTTTTTTCCTGAGCAATGAAAGCTCAGGAAGAAAAACATGTCAGACCAGCCAGTACCTACACAGGGTACCTTCAAAGAAGTGCTAACTGCCAATGGGAACAGAATTAAAGGCCAAAGAACTCTGCTAAAACTCTCCTAGCGATAAAGCAAGGCACTTGGAGATCTGCCCAGAGAAGACTTCACATTTATTGTATGCCCAGGGAGTTTTTGCCCTATCTATGCCAGCTCTCTCTAGACAAAGTGTAGCAGTCAGCTGATGTGCAAGCACACCACTCCTAGGCAGCAGCATCCTCAGGCACAACCACCATTTGCAGAACACAGTGGATCTATTGGAAGCTGTGGCTGTAACTAGATGTTCATTAGCTGGGGTTCCTCTCGCCGCCTTCTTTTGGAGTAATTCTTGACTCCTACCTACAGGCTGAACCTTCCCACAGCCTCACCCCTGGTCACTCAGCAAGCAGTCTTTTTCCACCACCAAAGAGAGTACACCAAGGTTAAGAAAGCAGCTTTCAGCTGTTGCTGTGGTTTGTTGCTTGGGTTCGTTGGTTTGTTTGTTTTCCCAAGTGTAATTCAACACAGCTACATAAATCTCCTGGCAAGGAGAGGGTCCTCCCCTGCCTCAGAACTTGCCAAGTTACAACGCCTGCACATGGCAGGCAGCCCTGAGGTTCACTGCTCTAAGGGAAGCAATTTTTGAGAGGAATTAAGCTGTCAACAAGGCAACTGCTGCTGTACCATCAGGCTCCCACTCTGTCCCTCCACCTGCCTTTTAAAACCAGAGGTCTGCTGCAGGAGCCAGGCTCATGCCTCAGCTGTCTTGAACCTTTACACGGAAAAACCGGGAAAAGCTCCTGGGTCTTTCCCCTGCCCACACAAAATTTAACATTCTGCAAGTTGCAAACAGGACACAAAAATATGGGACCGAATATGTACAGGAAGGAACAGAATTAGAAGCAAAAAAAAAAAAAAAAAAAAAGAAGAATGGGTAAAATTCTCACTCAGATTCTGTAACACCTGATCTACAATCTAGGGCCATCAGAGGCTCTTCATGTGTGAGCAATGCTCTTGCGGTGAACCAGTTGTGCCCTTGATCTCTGAGCTCTTTTCTATGCCTTTACCAACTCCTGTAGAGAACCAATGCTACTTTTTTTGCACTATGTACACAGTGTGAAATATGTCCCGCTCTTTCATAGAAGATCAATAAGATGCACGATAAATACTGTTATTGATCTTGCAGTGTTGTAGACGACTCTCAACCTCTATGGTATATTAATAGTAGTTAACCAGTAATTCATTTCAGGATGGCTGGGATTTTCTTCTAAGGAAGGTGAGTTCTTGGGGTCAGTTACACACATGG